AATCGCCAAAAAAATTACGGCACTTCAAATATGTATTGCCGAACTGCGCTCGGAATCGTATTTCGTCAAGCAATGGTTTATCGTTGCTTACATCATTGATTTTATAGTATACAGATTAGCCATCCCTATTATAAACATTGGCAGCGGCTAATTGGTTCCCATCGTTAGACGTCGTTTCAGTCATTTGGATCCGCGCGGTACTACCCGCATCATAGTAAAATGAGCGTAAAGCCCTTAAATAGATACCGACCTGCATCAATGGATCGTCACGCGGGTAATATAATTGTTAATAATATTATAATTTATTATAATACTAGCAATACCCATCAATTTAAGCTGTTATTATTTCATTGTTACAAATTATTGTAATACACGTAAACATAATATTATTATCGTTTGGTAATTTCTATCATTTCTATCGTGTTTAATCCACCGTCCGTTGTTCATCGATGTGTATTGAGTCGGTACCTACTTTTAATACGATTTTTAAATTTTTAAAATGTCCGGCAACATATGTGCGTATTTTAATTGTAAAAACCAAAAGAAACTTTCCCCAACTTGTAATGTTCAGATTTCCGACTCGTGAAAACATATCGGAAACTTGGATTATCAATTCAGGTGAGAATTATTAAAACACGTAAAAATTACGAACATTATGCATAGGTACTGTCTAATCCAGTGTTTCCCAAAGTGGGCGATATCACCCCCCTGGGGGCACTAGAGCTATCCAGGGGGGCGATGGAAGTTACAAGCTTAATTAGGGAGCATTGACTTACAAAAGGAGTCGGTCACCGTATTTATTTTTTTCAACAGCATTATGTAGAATTTAAATTGTAAGTAGTACAAATTATTGTACCTGTATATTTTGTATTTTTAAATTTAGAATAATCGTTTATAATATAAACTTTATATGTTGACAAATAAACCCATCTTTATCGCAATAAATGTAACATAGTATACTGTTTCTACTTCTACATTATTTGCATGTTATCTGTATTGCGGTATTGGTAATTTAGTATACTCGCGGATGCCGATCTGGTTCGTTGTCGTTGTTATTATTTTTTATAAGTGTGGTTTTAGGATCTTTTTTTATTCGTACGTATACCTGTACTATATAATAATAAAACATAATGCTTATTTATAAACAATACATTAATATTTCATTGCATATAATGTACACTTTTGTACCTATATACTTTTTTCTTTAAGGAGGCGTCTGTCAGATTTTTTTTTTTTTTTTGAAGTAGGTAGTTAAGATAAAAAGTTTGGAAACCACTGATTTAAAGCCTGCTTATTTCAACTCTATGTCATATTATTTGTACAAAAAAAATGTTCATTTTACGAAAAATAATCCTAATAAAATAATACGGTATCATTGGTTGTTTTCTCAATTAGTCTAAGTGATATTTAATAGGATTTTTCATGGCTTTAATATATTTTATTTTTTTCTCCTGTAATCGTTGAAATTCAAAATAGTACGTGTGTAACTGCGCGCACAAAAAACTTTTTTTTTTCTATTATTTTGTATCAATCAAATATTTACCTTTTTCTTTTTGTTGTTTTCATTTTTAATCAACGTATTACTCTCTATATCAACACAACCTATAGCTTAAAGAGATTGATAATCATGTAAATGTATGTATACATTGTTTTATTGTGAAATGTATTATGATTTAATAAAAAAAAAATGGATCATCTTGTATGTATGTGTACCGTAACTAAATTACTCTTTTTTACGATTATATAATATATACAATAAACATTAATAATAACCATTTTTTTTTTTAGATTCTAAGTGGAGCGAGGCATGTATTGGTTTTACAATGATGTTTATTTTTTCTATTTTTTTTTTTTTTTTATGTGAACACTTTTTCTACCAGAAATCTTACTTTGAATATCAAGTATAGTACCTTTTCTGAAAAGGAATGTTCCCATTAAAACTTTAAAGAGATCATTTTTTGAACGAATTTATATTCGAGATAATGAAAAGACTTGGTTTTTTTAGGTTACAAAAGATTGATAAATTAAAATCAAAGTTGTCATTGGAAACCGTTTTTAATTATTTTAGTTGTTATTAAGTTTTTATTGTTGTGATCATTTTACCATAATATGGTACATTATATATTGTTGACAAAGCAAAACTATCAACTGAACTCCGCTTAGAATCGTTTTTTTGTTAGCTATGGTTTATCGCTGCTTACAGATATACATTAAATTTCCGTCAGTATCCTACCTCCACGACTTCCCACCTATAACAGTGGCCGTACGCACGTGCGTGTGTTAGGTTTTTACATAACCGGTTTTCACATAATAATATTTTGTATCGTTCTGTTATATTATGTCCCTGCGTTTCTATTTATACGTATTCCTTGCTCTTTGTGACCTTTACGAAATCCTTACTTTGTGGTTTTCCTGCGCTTGCCACTTAATTATATTCCTATAGACATTTTGCGGGATTTCATTATAATATTATGGATTCCATTAACGTTTGCCGAACACGTGTGAATGTGCATTGCAAAATCGTTTTATTTGTTACAGTATTTTAAAATGAAAAAATCACACGTGTTTTTTTCGTACAATTTTCTAATGACATTCGTTCCATATGCCCGTGAACATCAATAACGGAGGGGTTATGGAAGATAGTGGCTCACTACAACCCTTTTTTTCATCCCGTTTAATCCCGTCTGCCCGCTTTTATCCCGCACGCAAGTATTATTTTTGCCCTCACATCTCCCAATATATACTTATCGTCATTTCCTAATCGATACACGCCCAGACGTCCTCGTGTCTTATAATCTCGATAATAATCCTTAATATGCCCTAATTGTCCCATTACAACTGCGAGCGTGAGCAGTGTTTTTGATCAGACGCAACACGATTTTTTATTGTACACAATGTTAAAGAGATTTTTCGAGTGGGACGACCAGTTGACATTTAGACTGCTCACATTTACGCAAAGACGTCTTAGCATAAACACATCATTATTTTTCCTACACAGCGTTTCATCGTTTCAACCACTTATATTGGTTTATGCATAATGTATATACACACACACATAAACATAAAATGTATAAATTAAGGAAAAAATTATATATTTTCATGGTAGGTGGTAACAACTAAATATTTATTCTATACAACAATGTAAATATTAATCACGGATAAAAATAATATGATTGTCCAAGAATTATGAAACGCGTTTTATCCTTGTCAATAGTTCTAGCAGCCCGTCACTGCAAACGCTAATAATCCGTGCAAATTGAAGACACCACGACCATTTATTCGTGACTACAGCCTACCGTAAAAAAGCCGAACGAATAATGTGTGAGAATTGCTGGTTACCACCATAGATAATCCGTGATTACGTCCTGATTGGCTCGCCCAGATTTATAGCGAACCAAACTCTTGAAATATCTAAGAAGAAATTGGTAACGCACTACTCGTATAGCTAATATTATATGTTTAGGATCCTGTTCTCTCTATCCGTGATAATAGTAGTACCTACTTACAACAAATAATAAAAGCCATGTAGAAAAACATAATTATAAAGATAACCGGCGGTGTTCAATAGCCTCATAAAAAGTAATCTTTTGTTTCATACTGACCCGAAGTTTAGATTTCGCAATGTTTAGCTTGCCATAAACGCGAACAACAAGTAACTGGAATTGTACTAAAGAATTGTATACCTACGCTTTTAAAGAAATTATTACAACCATCGTATCTGCTCGGTCGGATTGACTCAACCACCGAAGTCACATGATACATCTGGACGGTTTGCTCATTCAACGGGTTGACCGACGGATCGTCTCGGAGACCTTGCACGTTCCTTCATTTAATTTTCACTCTCATATAGATAACATTGCTAGAAAAACACCAAGCATTCTTGGGTTTTATTAAACGACATCAATCTAATTTTAGTTTTCCCAGTACTCCTCGTGCTCTTTATTATGCGCACTAGTCCACACGGTACAAAAATATGTAACTGTTCACTGTATAATAATATTAAATATTGAAGACTAGAAGTTTCGCAATACAACTGTACAAAACCATTAAGTAAAAGTCTGATTTTTTAAAATTTAAAATTTTTAAGAATCCTGAATAATTATTTATAAAGGTTTTAATTTTTCCAGTTGGTTCCACTCTGTGTTCTCGTAATAGAAGTTTTAACAGAAGAAAATCAACATTATTTTTATTTTTTTTTTTTTTTTTTTTAATTGTTTTTGCGAAACTCCGGGTCGACGGGAAATTATTGCGATTGTAATGTTATTATATTTGTTGGTTTCGTACAAATTGGAACGCGCGTATAGACTACGCAAGTAGAATATGGAATAATGATAGTCGCGGCAATCGATACCCATGGGCGGTACCGGTGCTTTTGCTCCGGTGCGTTACGAGATAAATAATACGGTCCGTGCCTGACCTAACCTAACCTTACCTAACCTATATCCGTCGCGTTTTACACCGGAGACAAACCGAGTATTGAGCGCGCAGAACTCTCTCGAGATGGTTTATCTCGCGGTTTTTCGTATTATACCGTGAACCTAGGCGTTATACACGCCAACGTATACATTTATTAACGCCAACGATGCTGATGTACAACAATAATGGTCTACAATATTATGTTGATATTTGTTATCATAACCGGTATAATGACGTGCGATGTTACGGGAGGAAAGACCGGGGCGTATTACAATGTAAGTCGCCGTCGGTGTTGCAGCGCACTCGTTTTGATAGTATATATACGTATACTTTTTTTATTATAATTATTCAACTCGAGCTCGCACTACTGTAGAAACGATCCGACGAGTATGATATTTTGCACGAAGTGCTCGATCGATCGCAAACAGGTAGCACATTTTTATTTTTTTCGTGATGAACGTCCAACACCCTTTCCAATGGCCGTTTACACGTTTGCGTCAAAATGTACAGACGACAAAAGCTCTGGCATACCCGTGGTCGGGGGGGGGGGGGCTAAACGGTATACAGCCTCTTATCGTACATGCATAGTATTTTACGTTTTCAGTGTAAACGTGTCCAATCACTTCTTTCACTCCCGATAGAAAATTATGTTGAACCGAATCGAACGAAAATTTGATGTGGACCACTGTCGGAAAATCGACTCAAAGATATTAAGCCGTGGCTAATATAAATAAAACAGAAATCATATAATTTCTGCTCTTGCTCGAAATTTTCTCATTATAGAATGCAACTGCAGTCGGAGGAGAATAAGTATAATTACAAGACTCGCTCAGACGTTACTACACATGATATATTATTCACTTTCGAAATCCTTCTTAAGTTCGCCTATTTCTCGAGCGAAAACGTATTTAAACCTCCCATCCCTCCCAAATTCAAAATCTTCGCTACACCGCTGGACAAAAATACCATAGGCCTTGGATGAAGTTTTGGAATTTCTGAAATGTTGCAATGAAAAAAAAACGCGAGATTGTGAATATGACATACGTACAGTAGGTACAGTAGGTAGGTGTAATGAATACGACAATAACAGCTATATTGAACGCGACACTTTTATTTTACGTAACAGACGCATTTTATTGCAACGACAGTGCAAGGATTTTTCAATTTATATACGAGCACACGCAGACGAAATCCCTGTCCTCCACTTCACTACTTCACCTCACCCAGAAATTACGTAAGTGACAGTCACTTAACGTGTGTATGATAATGTGTCCTAATAGTTGACGCGGCAAAATACTGTGAAACTAATTTCGCCGTGATGTGCCCGCTCCGTAAATAGGTTCGGTTAATGTTCTTATTATATTTTATTAATGTATCACTCGAAATCTTGCTCTAATCATCTACCCCAGAGATGGTTTTTTCTAGCGGATTTTTTCTACTTGGTACATTGTTGGGAAGACCATTTTTAACTTAAATTAGTTACGTATATTAAAATTAGATATACTTAACTACCAAAAATCTACCAAAATTTTGATTATGCAATTACAATTTACTGGTTTTTTTTTTTTTTTTTACCAGCATAAGTAAACATAACTGATGTGCCCCGCGTAAAAATTAAGCCATTTTAAGTATTCGAAACAGTTTCAAACTGATATACAAAACCTAATTAAAAATAATTTTAATAAATATTAATTTGTCACATTCAGATACCTATATGTCTATGGCTATCAATATCAATATCCGAAACTACATTGTTTCTTCACATTATTTTGAAAATATTAAAAAAATCAAAATATCTCTTAGTAGAATAATTCTAGAAAGTTCTGTAACAGTTTGTACTTTGTACATTCGCATTATAGTATAAATCCTAAATAGAGGTAATAATCCGTTCATTCCAAAATAACTGCGTGCTGTGATTATCGTTTGACATTGAAATTGATTGAATTTACGTCAAAGGCTCAAGTACAGTAATTTAATACATACAAAAAATTAAACTTAATAATTAATTTAAATTCCGTTCATGTTTAAACTTTAAAATGAACAATCAAAAAATGATTTAAACAAGTAAAATTTTTAATAAATAATGTTTAACAAGTAAAATAATATTCGTGTTTCTGTTATCATTATAAGAGTAGCGTTTAAGGATTGAAGGACTGTCGTGTTTAAAACAATCAAAATAATACAATTTATTGCACTCAACAGCATTCTATTCAGAGGAGTATTAAAGCCGTAAAAGAAGTTCTAAGATATTGAAAAAGTAAGACATGAACGAGAAAAGTATTGGGAAACGTGGATTGGAACGAGACTTAAAAGTAAAATAACGACGTCTCCTATAGCTAAGGGATCTAATTTAAAACTATAATGATATGGATTAGACTCAAAGTTACCGTTTTCGTTAAAATTTATATACGATAAGTATCGTAAAAACCTACGGTGTATATCCACTCTAACAATTCAATCGAACCAACCTGTGAAAAATTTCTAAATGATGTTACCGTATTCTAATGTAAATAGTAATTAATATTCTAAAGTTTTAGGGCAATATTATGTATTATTGAACTCCTGTATATTACGTACAATAAAGCCCAGGGTTATTAAACCTTTTGGTCTAGTATTTGATTGATGTGTAAAGAAAATTATAAGTTTGATTCCATAATTATTCTTAAGTTATTCTTAGTCTTAAATTATCCATGAGTAACTACCGACTTCGATAGATATTAATACTCGGTACCCGGTCTCTATGTAAATTATTACTCGATTGTATCCGAAACTCGGTTTTAACAAACATTATTATTACCCGGTCAATACTCGTTACCCGGTTTTTATATAAATAATGTACCCGGAACACGCCTCTATAGTACAAATACATAGCGATATCGACTTATCGGAAATTATTTTACAAATCTACTTTCGAAATGTTACCATATTACTGTGCTAAAAATATTACCTGATTAATTGGCTTATAAAAAATTCTTAAACTACATCTATACCGTCACACCGTCAAAATGGTCGAACAACTCGTCTTTTTGGGCGGGACTTTTTTCGTTCATGTTCGGCCATTTAATTACAAATTACCGTTTTCGGCCAGTACACTATTTTGGTCACAAATAATGAAAGCTTATTAATTTTAGAAAAAAAAACCCAAAGTACCTATGCATACAATTTTAAACGTGTTTCTTTTATTTTTGGTATCGATGATATTTACAATAATTAAAAAAAGTATACGAAATAAATTTAAAATAAAACAAAATTATTGGATTATCTGCAAATTCAATAATATTACATTACGCTGTTCTGTGGAATTCGTGTTTTCTACTGTACTACTGGTGACGGTAATTAGCATTTGATAGTAAAACTAATAGGTAAATCAATGAACCAGTGTTGTACACGAGTGCAGTACGATGAAAAACGCTCAGATATTCAGTGTTCGAATTGGAAAAATAAAAAAATATTGACTATAAGACTTGAAAAATAATTAGCGTCTATGCGAAAATTGAACTTAACATATGTTATGCGGGGCTTTGCCTTCCACACCTTCCTTACACACATCTCCAAACATCGTTCAATAATTTATAATTTACGAAAACTAAAACATTATACAAGAACAGCATTATAATTGCAGGCTAAGTTTTCGCATACATTTTTTTTATTTTAGATTCTGAGCGTAAATGCCTTAGTTTCACTATAACATTTATTACTTAAATATGGAAACGTTTTTAGTGCTACTCAAACGCCATACGAAAGAATAACAATAATATTAGGTGATGACGTGTGTTTTCGTATTTATTTTGTCTGTCTGTAAACAACTATCTATCAGAAATCTTGCTCCGATAATCAACTTGGGGATTTGGTTTTTGATAGAATATGTTGTTCAGTTGGTGCAATTAAAAGGTCTTGAGTTTCTTTTTTATTATATATATATATAAACGTTTAAATTTAACATTTTAATGATAATTTATTTCTATGAAAATCGAAAAATATGAGCCGTCCAATAGGTTCTATTCAGTGTTTACTTGGGATGCGCTAAAATGTCTAAAAAATTATGCTACTCCGTCCCCCTGCGTCCCTCCAAGTGCGTTACCGTGTGAACTCCTACTGTTTTACTGCCCCGTAACACTTGCACGAATATTTATAAATTTCGATAGAAACGTGATCATCGCGACAGTACAGTGAATTTCGACACTCGACAATTATTATGTCATCTACTATCACTCTACTATAATACACCATCGTGTGAACAGTGGCTCACCGCGATCGTTTTAACTATCACGATAGTAACTATCGTCGGGAGGAATATTCTTAAAACACCACATACTATCGATAGGTCACCGAAAAGATCGTCTAGTTTTATAATACTAAGTACTGTAATATAGTTTTACAAATTCTATAAGATTCCAAAATAAACGACGATGGAAGATATTCATGAACAGCATCATGAAGCGATTGAAAATGTGAGACAGACACTGTAGAGTAGCGTTCAATGGCATTTAAATAAAATTTAGGTTTTGGTGGCCCTAGTAGATGAATGGTGATCGAATTAAGATTTTCCAATTTTGGTCGTTTAATAATAATTATAACGCCGTTCGTAAAAACGATACACTTCTATCGTACTCGTAAAAAAATAATATCGAGTTTCAACGTCTGCACAATGTGCGCGCATTATAGTAGTATATGAACCAGACACGTGTACACGGAGGGGAGGTTCAAGGGTTCAACGACAAAAACGCCGATTTTTCGTGCCAATTATTGTTGGGTTTCACGCGTGGCTAAAGCCGTCGTAAACAGAATACCGAGACGAGCGTTTTCAATTAAAATTATTTTAATAAATTGTGTTTTCCAAGCGGGTTGTATGCGTTTGTACAATACAGGTATATTTTCGTGCTACTGTTACACGTTACAGGCGGAAGGGTTTCATCACGTCCCGTTGTACCTACAGCTTGTAAAAACGAGGATGAAAATCCGCCTTGCATGTAATAAATATATAATATATCGCGTACCTCATTGCAGCAGCTGTCACAAAAATAAAAAATAAATGATTAAACTACATGGAAATCGAACTCGTTTCTCCGGTCACGACCGGTATAATAACGCCCCATACAACATGTTAAACCTTGTTATATCGAATTTGCGATTAGTGAAAATATCGAATTAACATAAACCGACAAAAAAATAAAAAAATAAAATTCCTATAGTATACAACTGAGAAAAATAGCGAAAATATTTTGGAAATACTATATACCACGGTTTAAAAAAAAAAACAAAACCACTGACATCATCACATAAAAAATATTCGTCGACAATTTCGGGTCTCTATAATAAATTATAGGCCCTGCACGGTTATTTGTTATTTTTAAGAAAAGTACCTATACAAGGAATTTTAAAATATGACCATCACACAATATGGACCAAATTGACAAGTTGACAATACGCGTAACCAAAAACCATCCCTACTGTTGCGGATATTGATGGACATTATAAGTCTTTTGAACTTAGAAAACATGTTCACTAACAGAACAAAATAAAACATAAACAGGTAAAATTATCATGAGTAGTAAATAAATAAATCCAATACATTTTTCGTTAGAACCTAAAAGTATGACGAAAACGATCCGAGATTCAATCGCAATATTATGACATCGTGTTGCATTGTCACGAAACCGTGGTTTTTACATTTTGTTTTTTTAAACCAATGTTAGTATTTTACAATACGAAAAATTATTGATACCGTAGAATTACATAACGATTTATTTCGACAATAATAGCAACTATGAGAAAAAGTACAGACATAAATGTAGTGAGCGTAATTTGAGTATACAACGTGAAATTATTGTTTTTTTCCCCGTCTTATTCTCTAACTGATATTAACGTGATCAGCGATTACGAAATCCAAGTTCGTCGACGAATCGCTCATTTATTAGATTTTATACGTAAGTCCATAACGTAATGATATTTCGTGATAAATGGCAATAGTATACATATCACAGAGACAGTGTCCATACGATGATATATTAGATTGATAGTAGACGACATTATTTAGTGGGGGTGAATTTTGATAAGTGGATAAGTGGAGGTACGACACGACTGTGCTAAACATCGGCTATCGGTTACATGACCTAAACGGAAATCCATTGAAACCTCAGGGGGCTAATATTTTTATCAGACGTGGAAGACGCCGGGGCTTTGTCCCGATACCCTTGACAAAAATCAATTTCAATTATGTACTTTCTAAGGTGTTTCTAATTAGTGTTATTTTATTAAATATAGTTATACAAACTAATAAGTATTTTGTAATTAAACGAAGATATTATATTTATTTACAATTATTATATACGACAGATATTCATTTAGTAGTATTAAAAAAGACCCAAAATAATCAATATAGCATATTCTTTTTAGAGTATTTGTCTTCATTTTTGGTTAGCTCTAAAATTAGATTTCAGGAGGGGCTAATTTAATTTATGGAAGGAGTTATCTGCAAACCCCTTCAATTCTACTTACAATATACTAATATAATTTTACTCACTAAACGAATCGAGAAGGTTTAATAATATAATGTTGGGTAGTCCAGTTTATAATATACTGTATATTTTCAACGATAAATTATTGCAAAAAAAAAGAAAAGATTCTGAGCGGAGTTTGGTTAAATTTAAATCAAAAATTGTATTAATTTATAACTACTGTAGGTAAATACTAAATAAATTGCAATTGTTGGAGTTTGAAACAAATTTCATCATAAATTTAAACAAAAACCGCTGATAAAAATATATGATGACATCACGCTTGACTTTTCAAAAATTTTTTTTTACCTTCATGTACAATTATGAATAACCTTGTAGAGGTTAATTTAAAACTAAATTAAATTGTTGAGCGTAAATAATTTTATTCATATAAATGTAAACAGTAAAATGTTTAACGAACATTAGTAGTCACAAAATGTACTTGAATTTTACAAATTTTCTCATAAATATAATATTATAGTATTCGATGAAATTTGCCGGTCTCTACGATAGTTTTTCACTGAATTACAGAAATAAATAATAGAATCGAAATCAACCGAAACCGTTATTGCGAAATTATTCCCGGTTTTTCTTCGATAAACATGAAAAGTATAAGGAGAATAAACGACCTTTCCTATGTACACCAACTAAACGACATTATTCAAATAAAACCGTCCCTAAAGTCGTTAATGATTTAAACAAGATTTCTAGACGAAAAGTTGATTACGAACTGAAAAATAAAATAAACATCAAATAGTAAAACTCTAACATCACGTTTCTCGATTCGATCAGAATGTAAAAATAAAATAGAAATATTTTCGTATTTTCTACGCGGTTTTGAGTTTTTCAATATACCTGTGTGACAGTCGTTCGTAATATTCTGTAGTCGATTGTCTTAAAATAGTAAATATTATACTCGATTAATCTATACTATCGGCATTATAGTATAGGTATTTTTTGTATTATTTGGTAGGTACCACTAGTAAAGATTTTCCGCAGTGCTCAAATATTGTTTTTCTGATGGGTAAAAACAATATGTAATTTCGCTAACAGTGTATTTTAAATGCAAAACAAAGTTCTGCAATTTTTAAGAAAACCATCGAAATACGCAAAAAATAACGCTATCGTAAAAACCGTGTTATCAATATAACTATGTATCAATATTATCAAAATTCTCGATTAATCGATTGTTAATTTTTTCTGTTTTTAATCATCATTACTAGGGCTCGGATTTATATGTATTAAAAAAATCTAAACATGTAAATATATATATGTAATCGAAAATCGCTTTATATGCGATGAAATAATAAAAATATGGAATTTAAAAAAATTACTAAAATAACATTACTGACATAAAAAAATGTAAAATTGCTTTATAAATGGCGAAAAATGAAAATATAAAAATTAAGACACTTGAATTGAAATGATAATGAAATTGAAGCTATTCATTTTGATGTTGATAGCCATAAGATACTATACATATTATACATGCTCAAATTGTCAAAGTTATAAATGATCTACGGTTTGGTCGTAACACAAATTTGTCCGGACTAAACGAACACTTCAACAGGGGTAATGGGTACAAATTTCATTTGCAATGTTCAATGGAGTGAGCTCAGTCTGCAATATTATCCCATTTATTCCGCAATCGGTATATCTAATTAATTTTATTTAGTATCTATTATTTTGTTCGCGTATTTTTAGAAACATGGGAAATTATCTGCATTGAAAAATACAATCGTTTACAAATATAATCGTGTGTGAACAAATTATCAAAATATGTAGGAAAAATGGAATTGTTAAGAAATATGTAAAAACATGTATTTATGGCGAAATATGTAAGAATATATAAAATCAAATATGGTTCATTCCACTGCAAACCACTTGACACGAATTTATCACTTGCCCGAATTCAATTATCAAGTCACAATAAAATTATGTATTTGCATATAAATCCGAGCCCTAATCGATTATTATATCGATTAATCGCGCAGGCCTAAAACGCACCTGCGCGACGGCACAAGTCACAAATTTGCAATTTTAGTAAAAACGTATATTCTGTAATATTGCTGTGAGAAAAAAAAAACCGTTCACGCATCAACGCGCAATTTAATACAGTATGCGGATCGATTCAAAATTTATATTACAGTCATTTTATTAAGTAAAATATTCGAAATAGAGAAAAATGTATAGTACAGTATAGTAAGTTTTTCGATTTATAATCGTCTAAAATAATATTGTGCGCATTTTTTAATTTTTTTTTTTACGTTCGGGTAAGGGGAAAGTAGTGGATCACGGTGTGTGCGGCGGCACATATGGCGTTTAAATAGCAAAGTTAAATTTCAATTTTATTCAAAAAAAAAAAAAAAACAATTTGTTGTGAAAAGTCTGTTACATGTGAGAATATTAATCAATAACCGTACTGGTATACAACATACTCGTAATTATATATTTTTCGGAGTCCGGGACTCGCAGGAAAATCGCAATTTTATATCAACTATTATTATTTCCACTATACACGGCCAATTTAATATTTTGTATTTTCCACCGCCACGTGCGCAATTTAAAATATAAAATATATCGTCGTTATATACACATCGTCCGGACCGCGTTATAAGAACGTGTAACTACCTAACCTATAGGTACCTAATAAGGCACACGTGATATTTCGGTATATTCATTTTTTTTTTCTTTTACCGATTGTGCAGTTCATATACTCGTATAATACAATATGTAAGCGCATATAAATAGATTTATTTTTGTCCTCTGCAATAACCTTCAACTTAAATTGAATATTATTATTTAGTACATATATAAGCAAATTGAACGCTTGTTATTATTGTTAGTATTGGGTTAATATGAGAATATCAAGTACCGAAACTATTATAACTATAGAGCTCGGAACTTAATGCACTTAAAATCCACAAAAAACCACGTAAAAACGTCAAAAAAAAAAATCTCTGATAAAAAACACTTGAAAAATATTTTTAAAAAAGCAAAAAACGCTAAAAGTGTTTTAAATGGTCTCTCTCTCTAACGACTTTAACATTTATAAAATACAATTTTCTAACGTTACACTAATTAATAACTCAAAGTTGTTTTTTTATAGTATATACAATTTTTTTCAAACAAAATAACCTTTTTGTTAATAATTTGTGTCGTGTCAGAAAATTATATTTAATAATTTAGAGCCATCAGACAAGGGGCCTTCAAATCCTTTTACCATTTGGTCTAATAATATTTGCTCGAAGTGCTTTTTTCAAGGTATTGGACGTTTTTTAAATGCTTTTTTGTGAATTTCAAGTACAAATAAGTCCCAAACCCTAATTATAACACTTTTAGATGCGGTAAAACACAAATTCGTGTTAGAAATTTAAACAAATTCCGGTAGGTAGAAATATCGATATTATCAATGATGGAAAAAGAAGTAAATCACTTTCTGTCATTATTCAAGAGATCAGTTTAAAGTTCTCCACGTGAACTCTTTTAATAGTTCCACACTTAACAATTTAGTTAAATATTTTTCACTTTTTAGTAATATTTCGGTTATTTTATAACTGAATTATTTTTGTTGATTTATGGGTTAATTTAGCGACACGGATGAAAACAAAAACAGTAAATTATTATTAGTTTATTAAGTTATCACAGGCAAGTACTCTACACAAAAATTAATAAGGGAGCAACGACAATTAACTGTGATACTATGCGTACACGGGGTGGAAACGGGAAGTCGCGGGGATACATGGGAAGACGTGTTTTTATTTGCGTCTATTATTTTTCGTTAAATACTGACAAGGACAAAGTTAAACGAGACAGCTAATAATATTATAATAATCAACGAATTATATTTTAAAAAGTACGGATATACTTTGCACAATAAGTGGGCTACCATTGTAGGTGAGAAGTTGGGAAAGTATAGGATATAGAGAGAGGTTTAATTTATATAAGTACTAAACGCTAAAAACGATAAACTATTGTTAACGAAAAACAGAGCGAAGTTCGGTTATACCTGTTTGTAAAGCCGTAATATTTAAGATTTTCGTCAAGAATCGGTATCAAGATTCTTAATTAAAAAGAATTACTACAATTATATTCATTTTTGTTTTTACCACAATAAGTAGGTACGACTTATAATGAATCTTTTGTTAAATTTGCATACATTTGTTTAGTCTACAAATTTCACCCACAGAGTAGGTACCTATCGAATACAAATTACGTAAAAAGGTCAAAATTAAAATGTTTATAAATAACTCAAAAATAGCCCACATTTATTGAACATTTTACCACATCTAAAAAAGACAAATTCGAGTTTTCGGTCCAAATGTAAAGCCTTTACGAATATTTTTACATTATTATTACAAATCCAAAACAACTTGGAAAAACAAAAAATGACTCTCTTAAAATACTTAGAAAATAAGTTTTTTTTTCAGAAAAGGAGCTACCTACACTTGATACATCGGAGTAAGATATCTGATAGAAAAGTTGTTCCTAGAGAAAAAAAAAAAAAAGAAACACCATTTTTCTAAAACATTTACATTTCTCGCTACGCTCCATCTGAATGTATAAATGTAACTTAATACCTTAGAATTTAAATAAAAATAAATAACTTAACTAAAAGGCAAAATATAATAAAAAGAAACAAAAAGCTGATATTTACTGATTGGTGTGTCACTATTATAAGTAGAAAGTCGAAAGGGATAAAAATGTATAAAATAATTTAATTTACATTTTGTACGTAACGATGACGATAAACCAATGCTATCAAAAAACGATTCATGTATAATAATATTAGTTCTATTTTCTCATTGTTTTCAAGGTAATCCATTATAAATTAACAAAAAGTGTCATTTTTTCCTATTTATTAAGAAAATTAATTACATTTCAAAATCATAACAAAACAAGTAGTGGGTAGATAATTTATAATATAATAATTTGTATCTACATTTAGTTATATTACAGTTATAATACAATCATTGTCAGTTATTATACTTAATTTATTTTATCAATATTAAAGTATTGGTGAATATAAAATAAATAATGGGTATTATCCACTTGTCAATACACAATATAGTCATACACTCATACATAATAATTAATAATAATAAATAAATAAAAAAATAATACATATTATTATATCAACAGTAAATTGTTGATATTATTATTTTAAAAAAATTAGACTTTTGAATTTTACATTTTGTTTTTGTAATTTTTTTAATCAAAAATGTAAGAACTGTGTCTTAAAAAGTATCTTAGATACTTTCATTAAAGTACACAATATTTTGTACCTAAGATACAGATACAGATCATTTATTTATAAAGTATCTAGATACACATACAAGATAAAAAACAAGTATCTAGATATATTATAGAACTGTTGAAAATAAATATAAGTCCAGATTACAGTGAAGAAACTATAATGTGAACCTACAGTAAAGTTCAGCCGGACAAATACTGCGGAATTTTCTCTGCTGTATGAAAACAAATTTTGTTTATTAGGTACTTTAAGAAGGCCATTTTTTAATTTTCCAAGCAGTTTTCGTAATAATTGGGGAAGCTGAATAATTTGTGAAAATAATGCTTTTATTATTTTAAATTTTATTTGTTGATTGTAATTCAGTTAAAAATAGTCGTAAACACTTGAAATTTAGATCAAAAACTTGTCTTTACCTTTTCCAGACGTGGTAAAATTTTGTCTGCGGTGGTACTTTAGGAAGATCATTTTTTGATTTTCCCAAGATTTTTCATAATAAACAAGAAAAACCGGGAAAAAACGTAGGAAAAACAGAAAAATTTACGAAATTAATTATTATCGTAAATATTGCTGCCTTACAAAACACATTTTACCGAACTCATAATCGTTTTTCTTTAGCCACAATTAATCTTTAGGTGTACAGATAAACCTTGCGTTGACCCACTGTACCTGTCCAGCTTCCCACTAACAACAGCAGCCCACCCACCGTGCGAAATAAATATGTCCGTTTGTTTTTTTTCTGAGGAATGGAATACCTTTTACCACTATTCTGAACACAGTAGTTTTATTCGGAATATTACTCCATGTCTGAATTTACACGGGAATATTTATTTTTATTATTTTTTTTTGTCGTTTTCATTCATAGTAATATTCATTCCGTTCCTTTCGATTCGTATAACATTATTGTTATACGTACGGCCGCCGAGACGTTAGTCGAGTACGTTTTGTGCGCGCATAATTGGGTACGTACGAATTCCGTCGACAACAGACACACATCTTAATATGCCTTAATGGATGTAAATCATATTATATTATAATATACGGTCCTCTGCGCGCGCGTTGAACAATAATAGTATAATAGTATTGCGATGGCGCGTCCGCAACGACGGACGGTAACGAGGACGACGACGCGCGCTATTAATAGACCGAGTAGTACAGAATAAAAAAAAAAAAATAAATAAAAAAAATAAAATGAAATAATATTTTCCGACTCAATTGAGATACCTAGCTATGTATACGAAAAACGTCAAATCGTATTAAGTGTATTGTTAAATGCTTCGTGCACTTTTGTTAAGCGAACACTTTTTCTACGAGGAAGCTTACACCGATTATCAAGTATAGAACGTTTTCTGAAAGGAAATGTCCTCTGGGTGATACTTTAAAAAGGTCATTTTTTCGAAATTCTCGTTAATATTCGAGATAATTAGAGGAAAACAGCTGGTTCTTTAGGTTAAAAAAGAAATTGAACGATTGAAAATAAGGTTGTCATTGGCAACAGTGTTTATTTATTTTTTGTTATTATTATTGTATTATTTTTTTAAACAATCATTGTTGTTAATATTTTACCATAATATGACATATATATTATCATTGTTGAAAAAATAACACTGTCGACTGAACTCTGTTCAAAATCGTTTTTTTTCGTTAGCAATAGTTTATCAATGCTTACAGATATACAATACAATAAATTACCGTCTGTATCCTACGTTCCCAACTTCCCACCTACAACAGTGGCTGCGCTCATATAGTGGTTGTGCGGAATATGCCCGTTCTTTTTTTTTTATTATTATTATTATTAAAATTAAGCATCGCTATATTCGCGAACCCGCGAGAGCTTTTTCTACAAGCCGGTTGTCATAATAGTAATGACGTGTTACGTATACGACTGTCGCGTTTTCTGTACGCAATGCGGACGGGACGTTGTTAGCGGCGAAAATTATGACCTTTGCGTCGGATTATTATTATTATTATTATTACATATTGTTATAGGTGTATTAGGTACAGCTACGCCGTACGTTAAAGACCCTCTTCCTCCCCGCCCCTTTTAACTGGACGGAGTTTATTTTAAGCTCAATAAAAAAAAAAAAAGCCAAGTGATAATAATTATTATTACCGTTCGTTGTGTACGTATAATATCTGCACGCACCGCTGTTCGTCAAGGTTAATCGAATGAATCCGCTATAATAATGATAATAATATCAAAGTTAAATGAAAAAAAAAAAAAAAAATAGTTAGCCGACATACTGCTGACGGGTGTGCCATTTGTTGTGGGCGGGGAAATGGACGGAGCAGGGTATTATATTATATTTACTGTCGTGTACAGAGTTATTAAATTATTTAATTTATATCTATGTACGCAATACGCGGTGATAAACCGATGTTGACGAAAAACGATGCTGAGCGAAGTTAGATTAAACGTGACGTGTTTCATATAGCCGCGATCTTTATGATTTTCGTCGAAATTCAAATTTAAAAAGCTCATCAAAGTAAACTATTTTATTACTACATTATTTTCAACCTTTTTGTTTCTCTTTTGATAAATTTACGATGAAATTTGCGATCGATTCGATTCGAAAATTTTTGGGGGCTATATCAATTTAATCCGCATACTCAGAACCAAATAAAAACTAAAAAACCTCGAAAACTTTAAACAGCTATAGAAATAATAGCTTGAAAACCAACAGAATGTTTTGAACGTTTTACCGTGTCTAACAACGATATTTGAAAATGCGAACATTTTGATCCGTTTCGTCATCTACTAAATTATTTACGAGATTAAAATTGTCCGGCCGTTACCAAAATTTCAGGTTTTTACGCTTACTTTTAACCGAATTACATTAACAAAAAAAAAAACCAAAATCGAAAACAATGAAAACCGTTATTAGTGTAAAATATATTCCTGTTTTTCCTGTCTTTTTCACCGTTCGGTTCCCATTTATTGAGGTAATTACAAAAGAATTTGACCTACTCGACGCGCCAACTTTAGATAAATTTCGCTTTTAGAATAGACGTTATACTTGGTGATCGGAGGGCAAGATTTCTAGTAGAAAAGCTTTTTACAGACATAAAAAAAAAAAAAAAACAACAACACACCATCATAGTAAAACCAATACGAATTCCTCGGTAAATCGCTCAAACTCTGACAAATAACATCAGGTAAATATTGTACTTTATATCATATTATAATCATATAAAAAACCAATAATGTTAATAGCTGTGGTTACGTTAACGCATTTTGGGTTACATAACGCGTAAAGTAATGTAATGAAAATGTCCGCGATAGTCGTATTAAATTTAAAAAAATAAATACCCACTGCGTACATATTTACCGAATATGTTCGTTTACTTATCATTATCATAGTTATAGCCATAATTTCAATAATTTTGTAATTCCGTGAAAAAAAATCAATACGAGACATTTTCATTTGCGCAATATTATATTAATAATATTTGATAGTGTACAGGGTGGTCCGCTTTTTCAAAGTTTAGAGAAAAGAAGTGTATAGTCAATTAATCGTAAATATAATAACCAATTAGAGAATGCAGCCTGCTGCATAATAATTGTAAGTACTTTTCTTTGAACATTAAAAATGTATGAAAAATCACGAATTTAATGAAAATAAAAAGCTGATACGTCAACATTTTCAGAAGAATAAACTTTCAATTTTCTCAATAATCTTCAAATTTTTTCAAAAATAATAAAATAAAAAGTTATTTTCAAGTTGTTCAGCAAAGCAGGTGTAAAATATATTAATTGCAGTATAAATATTTGTAGTTCTTATCCCTATGAATAACAATAAAATTAAAAAAAAATAAAACTCGATTTTCTTTATTTGCTCCGGAGATATTACAATGGGTATATCTTCGCGGGACACCTTGTATTGTTTATTTTTCGACATTTATTAGTTTTTATTCGCAAATACAGTAAAATATATAAAGTGGGTATAGTTGCGCTGTACAATAAAAACGTACACCACGCGCTACGTACCTAACTCGCGCACGCCGTTGTTGTACGACTTTTCGTACAATCGGCGGTGGCGTAGTCTTGCCAACGAGTGTCTTTGACACGAAGCCAAAGTCCTTTCAAAGTCAAATGAACACATTCGAAACGAAAAATAACATACCTAAATACTTATTTTTAAATATTCGTACGATAATTATTACAGCTTTCGCTAAAGATTAAATATAGTTTTGAGAGTATACGCGGTATACACACAACCATAATATAATAGTACGTCGAGAATATTATAATATAATAGCAATTAATTAATTAATGGATTTGTCGCCGGTTGGCCGACGTTGATTTTTTTTTTTTTTTTGCTCATCGCCGAATTTCACTCTCCATATAAATGTATGTATACCCCTTAAAAATGTCTGACTACCCCTACGGTCACTATCAGATATGCTGATTTACTGCGGAGATACGAGTTTGAAAAAAATCGATTTAAACGAAAAAAAAAAAAAGTTTTGTTGCGCCATTTAACGGCGCCTTAGGTTGCAGTTTTTTTCGGCCTGTCGGTTAATCAGGCCCTGTATAATAGTAATAATAATATGCATATGATGCATATTCCAAACCATATAGTAAAATTATCGAACGTACCAATGTCAATTTAAGATTCCGAAGAAAGTCGGTATAAGTTTTACCGGTGTCGTGTCAGTGTTTTTTCGGTGTGTGCGTCTAGATGGGTTTACCAGACAATATTTCGGGAGGGGTGAGGGGATTTAAGGTTGTACACTTTCATACACTTATATAGGAAAGAAGTTTACATACTTTCAATTGTAGGATTATTTATTTTTCATTAAAAATGTCAATGTTTTATAACATTCGTATTTAACCTTTTAAATTTTAAATAAAATATTATTATAAAGCTCGTATTTAAATAATATTAGTATTTAAAAATTAAAATGCGATTTTTAATAAATAATAGTTACTTAAATGAGATTTTCACTTCTTTAATAACATTTACGAAAATAAAATCCTCGAAAATGACGAATGAAATGATTCACATGCATTGATTGTTTTTTTCTGAATCAACTGAATTCATAGCCCACAGGTCGAAAAGTCGAACTTGAGGAAATATTTGTATCAATTAAGTAGTCAGAAAATTCAACTAATTTTTCTGATAAGACTGAATTAACAATCGTCTGCTTCACTAAAGGGTAGTAATGGGAGACCGAAAATTAAATGAAGTCATTTTCCAATTTCTAAAATTGGATCCATATAATCCGGCTATAATTCTAAGTTGTATGCGTTTCCACCATGACTGAGTTAGATGAAATCTGCACCCCAGGATTGTAATTAAGTATGCTATTTTCATTAATACCTAAAATTTTCATTTTATCCATAATATTTGTAAATTTATTATTTATTACAAAATATAATATCACATAAAATTGCAAATATCAAAAATTGTTTCTACCATTTCATACTATTTTACTTTATTTTTATAAATAATTTTATATTTCATTTATTATTTGTATATTTACCTCCTATATTTTACGGGCTATAAAGTGTAATCGTGTATATATTTACATATGAGGGCAACTGGAACATTTCGCTCAAGGTAGTTTGGGGGGGAATCGGTATAAAATAAAAAAGGTACTTTTTGGGGCAACTGGTACATGCCTCAATTTCATAAACATCCGGACTCTAATAATAATAATAATATTATATTGTTCGGGTGAAATTTTATCATCGACAACAGAAACCAATGGGAAATTAGTTCAAATTACGACACGGGCCGGCGCAGGCCACCCTCGGCCGATTGTGAGCTCCCCGTGCCCATAATATAAATGTACCTGTACGTAGGCCTGTCCCGATGTATCGATTAATCTTTTTTTAATGAGCGATAGTATCGATTAATCGGATACATCGATACATCGAGAATACAAGTAAACAACGATATAATCAACATATATCCGGTCAACTAATATATTAATAGTATATTGATTATTATTGATATGTGACGAAAGTTATAACACATTATTTTTCTCTATTCGTGTTAACCACGGCTATTGATAAAATAATTGGTTGCGGAACGGCCCCCACTAAACAACACAATATTAGCAGAGCCGGAATGTTATTAATGTTCTTATTTTTGTTTTTTTTTGTACGTCTTTTTTCATTTTTATCCGATAGTGTCGATTATTTCAATCCAATTGACTATTGAACATGACGAATAAATATCGCGAGTGTATACAAATTGTTTCTTCAAAATATATCAATTAATCGTAATAATCGATTATTTTGACACAATCGTCTATCGAGTCTAACGAATAACTTATTGCGCAGACCTATCTGTACGGTTATTGCCTAATTGCCATGTGGGTAGTAAATTTACAAAGCGTGAAAAACCGCGATAGTACTTATGATACCTATCGCGTTACATAACAAATTTTAATACATTACGGTCCAATACAGTCACTAAAAATATACGTAATATATTATCTTAATATTTTTTTATTTTTTTACGTTTTTCATCTCGTTAATGAAATAATTCCGTAGTTAGCCGATAATAATAAAATACAATATGTTCGGCCGATTAGAATATAAAAACAATATATTCAATTATAAACGTTTCAATAATAATTTATTATCGCCAGACGACTTTTGTTGACGACTATCGTTCTTCCGTTCTCCTCTCCGCCCGATCAATACAGTTTAACGATTCAATTATATCGGGAGAAACACATTATTAATTATAATAACTAATGCAAATATATAATTATTAATTATTATTATAATATTATTTAATCTCGTTATTAATAGTTATTAACCACGTTGCTCTCGGTATAGTACACGTATCTATTGATATTTTATTTGTTTAATTTTATGTTTAGCTTAAACGAGTTGCTTCTGTTAAAAAAGAAAAAAAAATAAATAACTTTTTTCTTTTTTTCCTTTTTTAATTTTTCACTAAGGTTATCGTTTAAGACGATGCCGTACGCGCGTTTCGTATCACGTTTTTTTTTTATTTATACGGACACCGTACATAATATACATGTGTATGCATAATAAATAATTATATTTGTACGTTTTAACCAATTTATTCGACAGGCGGTATATCGTGTTCCTCGTACAAAAAATGATCGAGCATATAAAAAAAAAAAAAACACTTAAAAAAACACGTTTAAACGCTTTATTAGGTAATTTATCCATATATTATAATACTGTGCGTACACGAAAAAGTGTCTAAATGATATCGTACATTAGTTTAGGAACAACAATTGACACGCAATAATTATTGATTAAAATTTAAAAAAAAATAAAAATATTCATCGAATATAATAACATTTAAATATGCATTTTAAACGAAAAATAAATAAAAACATTTTTAAATCGTTTTGACATTATTTTGCACGGTGGCTATGGTATTAAATTGATTGTAAATACGTCGATTATATTTCTTATACGATAATTGTCGATTATTCGTTTTTATGTAATCGGTTATTTAAAAATTGACTGAAAGTAAAAAAAAAAAAAATGCCCAATCTAATATTAAAACAACAGCACACACTGCAGTTGTCCCCGCTGAACGAAAATCGCCCATGTTGCGCGGTTGCAGCCGTGTGACGGAGACAACACAATATGCAATTATGGGCGCGTCTTCTTAAAATGTAAACATATTGAAAACGTCGTATACCTACAATTTGTACGACGAAAACCGTCGAGGCTGTTCAAAGATCAATTAAAAACAAAAAAAAAAACAAAAACCGTTTAGTACGCCTTTGAAGGTAAAGTGTTCTCAGTATATAACGGCCACAAAACGGCTTTCGAAAAAAACGAATTAAATATAATAATATTCAGAGTACTGCAGTTTTATTAGAATAATTATTTTGCTCGTTGCAATTATTTTCGCGAAGCGCGCCCGGAACGTTTTAAATTCCCCGAGCAGCTTTTTATACCGAGAGAAAAAAGCCCATCGCAATAAATATAATATGTTGTTGAAACTGTGAACGCGTACATTTTAGTTCTCGCTCGTTGCAGTATAAAACAAAAAAATAACCGAGTCAGATAATTATAAATTATTATTATAAATAGGTCTCTCCGAGGCGGATACGATTTATAATATTATTTGGATTGTATCGTTCGTTCTGCGAAATATTACCAATTTGTACGGTATATAAATGAGTGACTCGGTTTTTCTCTTTTGAATTCTTTGTCATTTAGGTTTTTTTTTTTTTATTTTTTAATAATATCTAGTAAGAATTTATAAGAATAAGCGAATAATTGTTTTCAAAACGATTTATAATAAAGAACTTTTTTCTTTTTTTTTATTAAAAAGTAAAAAAAAATGAATATCTTCGGACGATATTTATAAAAAAAAACCCGGAAATACTTAGGTACCGAGTATCAGCAACGATCAATCAATGCAATCGAAAAACGATTTTGGGCAGTGAGTGATTTTTTTTTATTTGCTGTTTATTGAACCGAAAGTAATGGAGGATATCTGTGCCGACACAACTACTTGACTATCTGCATATACTATACCATTGTTTGTTGTATAGTTCAAAAAAGGTTTAGGCGAGGGCGTGTAAGCCGACCCACTGCATCGTCTTTGCTCTCCGATGAAAAGGATTATTATCAATGGGTGAATATAATATACAATAAAACGGGAACTCTCGAATCGCCTCCCAAATTCAGGTAAATGACCCTTTATCACTCGAATTGCCTCCCACAGCATACCTAGATTATTAATTAATAGATCGATAGTTGACGTCTACATCGATTATTATATTGATTTTCGTAATGTTCAAAAATAAAACTTAATTGATAAATTAAACGGAAATGAAATTTCAGAATTTCAATACTTAAAAGTGTTATCAAATAAATTTAAACCTCGGAAACATATAACATAACTAGGTGGTTTAAATTTAAATTGTTGACTATAAAACATAATGATATTTCATCTAAATTATTTTTATTTTTTTTTATTGATTTCTAATACGTGCAATTTTGATACAATATTACCTATTCATATTATATAATAGTTATTTGCTTTTTTGACATCGACTTATTATCTAATACCGTGTGCTAATGTCGTATACCTAATACTTAACTGTGTAAAAATCTTTTTAGTTTTAAACAAATCGTAATAGAAGTCGATTTCGATACAAGAGGCCACTAACTAAAATAGGAGGCAATCCGAGTGAATGGTTTTTTCATATCGGGAGGCAATTCGATTAACGTTATTAAAAAAAAAATCACGGGAGGAAATTCATATGCGCTCAATAAAACATTTAAAAAATAGCACGTGTGAAGAATAAAACTCCTAGATTTTCACGTTCCGAATTTTCTCGGTCCAGCTCGAGGAGCCGGCCAGTCTAGAATCTCGTACCACTATTTCCTTTTTACAACCCGATTCGTTTAATCAGCCGGTCTAGATCGATGAGTCTCGTGAGTTTTTCTAGAAAATGAAAAATGATTTCGGTGTTATACTTTGGCTACATACAACGAGTTTTCCCTATTGTATATATAATTCTATTTTATATTGTTGTCAATTATTTTTTTTTAAATTAAAAAAACGGTCGAGAATCTAGACACATTTTTCCAATAAATTACAACTGGTCGGAAGTATACCACCGGCCTTCTATAGAACGATGTAAACGAAATCCAAATCATTTTTACCAAAACCAAAAGGAGATTTTAGAGAAAATAAATGGGAAAACTATGTAAAAAAAGACGTTAATGTAAAAACCCAATTACTCTTATAAACTATAATTTCTACATACGAGTAGTCCAGCTTAATGGTTATTCTTAATATTATATCATCTATATATTATACACCAAAAACACACACACACACACACACAAACACACACATACACACACACATACACACATATATATATATATAATATTTACCGATCACGAGAAAATAATAATCGTTTAACCAAACAAAACTTTAATTCTTGAAAACAATTTTAATGTACGTATTTCAAGGACAGCATTCGTTTTCATTATCATTTTTAATGTTAATAAAAAACCGACAACGATAGTCTTTCTACGAACGAAGTATCGCCAGTTGTTCAATCTATAATTTTTTTTTTTTTTTTTAATTTTAATCGTCTCATATGCATACAAATCGTTTGTGATAATAATTACACAAAAACGGAGATAATAATAAAGCATATAATTAAAAAAAATACATTATACAAGTTTGACATATTTTAACAAGGTTTACAATTTCTGATCAAGGGTTGTCGAGGGCCCCTTGATCTCCTTGCGGGACGTAATCCGGTCGAAATCCCATCAGTACGTCGCTTGTCCCTTTGGTGGATATCCGGGAGGGGCGGTTACAGTCCCTCTCCCCATTTCGGGATTTTCGTCATTTTATTTATTTAATACCGAAATTTGTTTTTGCAGTTACGACGTTGGTATATTTCGGTATGTATATAAATAAATAGTTTATGAAATATTTACCTATGCGTATAAACTGTTAAAGAGGGAAAAATTTGGACTGATGGTGCTCAGAAATTGTCTACGGCAGGTAGTTTTCGAAAATTTGTTCAATTAAACAACCGAAATTCGCATATAATCCTCCGTGCCGATTAGAGTGATAAATTTCAAACAAGAATAATGCGAGCGGTTCTATCCCCCGCGACCCTATGTGGATTTTAAAGTCGCCTGCTGCCTGTCTCGTAATCAGATACGCGTTTCCGTTTCATAACTTTTCTAAGCCCTGAAAATCTAGTTATTATTATTATTATTAATCGGCTTTAATAATATGTTGGTACAAAAAACGCACAATATGCACGGGATGATTATAATATGAAAATTTCGTTTTTTTTTTTTTTTCTACTTTTGTAAATATATCCTTGTAGGTATTATAATATCAAATCGTCTGCATAATATTATAAAAGTATAATTAAAGTCAAACTGCGAATAATATTAAAAGCGTATAAAATATTTTTGCTGCGTTCCATTAAAAAAAAAAAAAAATAATAAAAAACGATAAACGATCAACGCTATACAAATATTAATGAACAGTCTTTTTGAAAGTCAATTAAGCAATTATAGTTGATTAAATTGTTAATTTTTTTTTTTTTTAAACTAAAAATTATTTAATTTCATATGAAAAAAAACTACATTAACACGCCAAAACATATTTTTATACATTATAATATTATATTGGTTTTAGGTTTACGGTATTTAAATTTTAAGTTTTAGAATATATATTTATTTTGATTTGCTCTAATATTAGGTATGCTCGAAATGAAAATATTTTTTCCCGCTAACATAATCACTCGTTTCAAATATTTTTTAAAATTTGTTTAACATTTTGGATCACGCGTATAAATGTATTTTAAATCGAATCGTGTCCTAATTATGTCAATAATCGCTTGAGAAATTTCCGGCAGAAAATTCGATTGTTTTTATCATTAAACAGGGTTTTTCGAAGTATACAAATATGACGTTACCAATCTTTGATACCTTTGGTCCCGGGAAAGAAGGACTTAAGATTCGGCATTTTTTTTTTTTATTTTTATAATAGTACAAAGTAATTTTTTTCTCTATTTGTTTATCTGCCTGAATAATAAAAATACTGTAAATTAAAATACAACAAATCACTATGATGTATTTTCTGTTTGGTATAAAAAAAGAAGCATAAATCATACAATTATAATATGACTGCATTTAGATTAGGCCATTAGGTAAGCAATTTAGCCATCACTTATCTATTGTACCATGTCAGTCATAGTTATTTTCAATATTTAATTTAATTTATTCTTTTATTGAAAACTATACAACATTCTTCCCAAGGATCAAAGTTATATTTGCAATGAAATATTTTAATTTCTTATTTAAAAAAAAAAAAAAAAAAAATTTTAATAATTTATGTCGAATTCATTGTAGTTTCATACAGGTCAACAAATAAATATTTCGTAGGCAGTGAAATTGGCGGTCATATATAATTCTCTGCGTAAGTCTCCGCATACTAACCAAGTGTAGATTAAAGGAAACTAAAGGGCTGTAGCCTCAGATCGCAAGGCGAAAGAGTGGCAATGTTTACCTCTTTTTCTTTTTCAATATTTTTAGGATTCTCTGTCTGTGTAGCAACAAACTATATCTATTAGTTATACAATGATAAAATACAGTTTTTCATAAGAAAACACTTTTCCGAATATTATAAAATGCTCCGATTTTTCGGGTTAAATATAATTATAAAAAATAATAATAATAGGGTTTTCGTTCTATGACAGTATATTTGAAACATTTATGAAAAAGTTCAACATTTAACCTCTAGGTGTTATTCTTGTTTATTGAAGTAAAATTAAATACCGATATACTATCATACGGCTGCCATCAATGTTAAATAAATATAACACGCTGAATTCAATAAATCTGGAAAAAAAAAAAAAACGTTTAGTTAAAATGATCTCACCAAGAGTATTAATATAGTCATTAGACATAGACCTTCTCAGACTGCGGCCGTAATTACGTAACTAGATAATAGATCAAAGCCATCGATGACTGTTTAACATAACATTACCTACTATGAATATTTCGAAATAATTATATAACATGCTCGTAATAAAGTTAATTAATTTACAAGACATCAAAAAAACAACGCGTAATTTACGTGTAAGTAAATAACGAATTTACCGTCAAATTATCTTACTTAAAAATGTCCACACGACAATTGACCATTTATTTGCATTAATTTTTTGTGAAATTTTTAGTACGTGACAATTGAATATTAAAAATATTTAATATGTCGTTTAACATATTAAAACAGTATAAGTTTTAGTATACAGTTTATCATATTCTCGAAGTATTTTAACTATAAATAACTATATTTAATTAATTATCTATATTGGTTAATTAAGAAGTTTTTTTAAAAAAAAACTTTCTTATAGTTACATCAAATTCAAATTAATAATTACTATAGGTACCTTTATTAGGTATTGATGATAGTTTACCGATTAAATAGTACCTGCAGCTATAACATTGATTGGGAGTAGATTATAATAAATGGGTTAAACATTTGAAAAAGAAAAAGAAAAAAACGATATTACGCAATATATATATATATTATTTCAACATAAAAAATATTTAAACGAGCAATTATTAGACAATCGTTACAATATACGCGCAGCTTGTAATAAAAAAAAAAGAAAGAGAGACCCGAATCTCTAATACAATATTAAAACAATATTATCGATGTATTATTTTATATTCATCCCGGTCGGTCCTTGACTCATTCTACTGTTTTGAGGTTTTTGTGGTATTTTTTTGTTCGTCATTTACTATGAACGCTAATAATTTATAGGTATCTTTTCATCAGGTACTCTGAGTTAATTCTTCGGTTGATTTTTTCTTAAACTGTTTAGCTTAACCAGTGGTGCGCACAGGAATTATCAGCGGGTGGAGATGTATAAGCAGTGAATAATAATCATGATTGGTGATTAAATAACGAATTCAGAGGCATTTCAGATTGCATACATCAAATCTGCGCACAGTCTTCTGTGCTTTGCCCAACCCGATAGTGAGAATTTAAAACTTGGATCCAAAAAAAAATCAATGTTTATATTATTCAATAAATCAAACTTGTTTTTTTTTTCTGTAACTTGGTTAAAATACATCATTTAAAGATAGAATTACTAAAACAAACGTTCATATATAGTTTCAAACGAATGGGGGGATATAATCTCTACACCCTCCACGGCACGTCACTAAGCTTAACTGTATATATGTATTTGTCGTACACTGATAGTTATATCAATTAAACTAATTTAGTTTTTATTGCACAAACTACACTTTTTAGAGTTGAAAACATCCGGTTAAATAAAATAATACAAATTCAGTCTTATAAAGAATAAATTTTTTTTGTAATAACAAAATATCTATTCAAACAAATTTGTAAAAATGTATTCGAATAAGTTTTAAAAACACATTCGAAAATTTTTTTCCGCTATTTTATGTCAGTTTCAGAAAAACATTTAATTACTTAACGTTTTGTAACTCAAATATTTAACATAATATTTGTTTAAATATTTAAACAAATAAATTACTGATTAACATAACGCTACAAATAAAATTAATAAGCTAATTATTAAACTACGAATAAACATAATAAAAACTAAACACTATATTTACAATTTATTATCTGGCCGTAAAAAATCTACAGTTTAATTTTAGATTATAAATTTATAATTATTATTATTTATTAGTTTCAGAAGAAAATTATTTTCACAGTGAATAGAAAATACAAAAAATATTCAAAATATAGTATTCGAGTATAAAAAAGTATTAAAATAAATTTTATTCGAATACTTTACGAGACTGAATATAATATATAGAGGTTACCGAAGACCAAAGAATACTGATTTAAATTTTTTTTCGTTTCGAAATTCGATATTACTAAACATATTGACATATTTTAAACGTTAATAATTGCAGAAAAATCAAAAAAAGAACAATACGTTTTCTAACTAGCTGGTCGAATTATCAATTTATTTTACTTCGTTCAATTCGACTCGGTTATTAGCATGATAATGCTAATAACGCATAACTATTATCACCGCCTATTTTTTCAGTCTTATATTATGCATCTTTACACTTACTACGTACGTATTATAGTATTATACTTTTCGGTGGATTTTCGTTTTATTCCGTATTTTTTGCAGTTTTTCGTTTTTATTTCCTCCATTTTATATAATTTTATGCCTATATTAGTAATCATGCATTTAGAATTTTCCAGAGTAAATACGAGATTACATTTTTCACATTATTTAATTTTTGTACCTATTTAATAACAGCTGCTGCGGCGAATCGCAAAAACCTATTATAATATATAATAATATAAAACCTATAATATTATATAATAACTAGAGGTCGAATTTTTAGGGTTTCTTTATATTTGTTTGTAGTGTATACAGTTAAATGGGAGTAAGATATCTTCACGATTCACGAAACATAATTCAGAGGTAAACAATTATTTTGCATTAAAAAACATATTTTAGGGGTTAGAGAATATTTTATATTTGTATTTTTGATTCAATTATTTGTATGTACGTACATCGAAATTTAATAATATTGATCAACAAATGCAATTTATTTTATAAGCGAGTTATGTTTACACCCTTCTGGGTTCCTAATGAAAATTAATTACCATAAAAAACTAGATATTTCAGAGCGATGGCGATAGGACGTCAGAAATACGAAAATAACGTCACCTGTCACGAGCTGTTCGATTGTAAAATAATTTTAAAATGTTGTAAACCAAAATAATAATACTAAATTGTGTTACATAATAAATTTAAGCTGAAAACTAAAATTAAAATTTTTTTTTTAGAATATAGAATATTAAAAGAATATACTTCGTTTTTAAGACCATAAAACATCATAATATATCTAGTATTTTAAAAGGATATTAAAAAAATATGTTGTCTACTTTAAACGATACAAACACATCATATTTTAAGGATAATATAAATCTCACCTCTAATTATAACGTAATATTATACTATATACATATATAAGTATTAGGAAATCTGTTTGATCCGCAGGACCGATCAAATATTCTAATATAATAATAATAACAGTTGAACCGATTGTTGTCTAAATAATATTTGTGGTTTTTCTCTTTTTTTTTTTTTTTTTTCAATATTTTACCTATAGGTAGTATTATTCATGGATATCTAGATGAAAGTGGCGCGTTAATCACCGTTTTTTTTTTTTTTTTTTTTTTTTTTTTTAATTGGCCACCACAGTCGACGTGGAGGTCGTTTTCCACTATTTATGCACGTATACCGCGCCGATTTCTATCGAAAGCAATTTCATCGTTCTGTATACTTCGACCTTCGTAGTAATTTAATTGTTTTGACAAATATTTTTGACCATACTCAACAGATTTTTGTGTAATACGCATTTGTACGCATATATAGTACACCGTAATTTATTTATCGTTTTCCGGACGATAAAAGTACCATGCATAATATTATATGATATGCTTTTATCAGCCGCGGTAGGTATAACTGTTATAGCGACCTTTAAAACGTATAGAACCGATGTAAAGTTTTTCTGAAAATATCACGCGCAACGAATATAATATTGTTAACAAGATGCCCCGACAGTATATTCGTAATCGAATTTCAAACATCATCCCAGTGGCGTATCTACGTCGGAAAATTATTAGGGAAATATATCTATTCTTCATTGAATTGAAGGTTCATCTTCATTCTAGCTTTTTTCAGTAATTATTTATTATTTATGAGACGACGTATTTTCAAATTCAATTTTCTTTACATTTTAGTCAGACAACTAAAGCGAATAAACGTGTCGGTATACCTTGTCGTTAGTTAAGAAAAACTTCTTTGTTTATTAGAACATTTTGCACCCCCCCCCCACTTTAAGCAAAAGCTATGTGTATGCCACTGATACCAATATAATATTATAGTTTGTTTGGCCAGTTTATTTTTCCATTTTACACATAATAAAATTACACGGCGAAGTTTTCTTCATAATTTTCCCCGCGAATTTGGGTGCTCAAAACCAGCTCACCAAACAAAATTTCCGCCAGCGAAGTTTTACTGTCGTGTGTAAGCATATTTTTGATCGAGAAAAAAAGTTATAACTTTTTGACAGCAAATAAATCGACCGCGATGATGATTTGAGTCGCACCTATAGTCTGCAAAAATGTAATTTAATATAGGTACCTAAAATTACTTTGGATAATAGTATAACGGTTTTAAAAAAGTTTATACCTATAGAAAATAATTTATGTAGCTGATAATAGATAATAATAATATACCGATCTGTATTATTATTTTTCCTCTAATTGCAAGTGCAGTTCGCTTATAATTTATAACATTATGTTTCATAACCATAATAATTGATTAGTAATAATTATAGCAATGCTGATAAATAGTAATAAAAAACGAATCTAGGAGTTTTTGTAAAAAAAAAAAAAATTGTATATGTTTTAATTTTCGCGATTAATATATCTCGATAAATTATAATATGCCTTCAAATTGAAATTCGCATTCGGCCAAGCCCATCGTTATAGGTACAACCCCCAAATTCATTTGTTACCTACTCGCGTATCGACGTTTGACATTCGATATAGATTATCTGGAGAAAAAACTGCAGTAAGTATACATACAGTGATCTGCTCGGAATCTCTCAAATTTCTCGTCTTGGAATATAAATATATAGTATTATAATTTTATAACTCTCAAATTCTGTATAAAATACAATAATCTCGTAAACGTGCCGTGCATTTTAAATTACCTACCGATCCCTCTCCCCTCGTCGAAAAGAATATTAGTCACGTCGCTAATCGACAATATACATTACGCGTCCCGTTTTAAATGATTATATACAAATTATAGTATTTACAAGAATATCCTTTTAAAAAATAAATTGTATTAATACATTTTTTGAATAAAAAAGTGTAAATTCATGTTAATCCTAACAATAAACTTTAAGTTTAAAAGCAAATAAGTGCGAGTTATCTTTTTGAAGATCTGGGTGTAAAAACGTTTAGGAAAATTTCTTTTTTCGTTTTCGTTTACGAATAGGCTTCCATTTTTTTCCGTGTCCAATAACATTTTCATTTTCCCAGAGTAGTGTTTTTC